CACCTTGAAGTATATTTGGCCATATTGGAAGCTCGGGCTCTCTGAGGCCGTCTTGGAGCCATCTCGAGCCATCAAGGACGTTCTAACTCCTCGCAGGTAAGCCCGCCCAGACGCAGGGAAGGCAAACCTCGTTGGAAAAGGAAGCGGGCTGATTGGATTCACACTTCGATGTTGTGTGCGCCGATGATAACATAATTGCTCGGGAACCGAATATACCATACGGATTTGAAGATTTTCTGGGCTCGTCGTTTGTGGTGGTGCGGGTGGGGATCTCACGAGGCACAGAGCGTGAGAGCGCATCGACTTACATCAAACCGCATGCAAACATATAATGCAGCGGCCATATAACTGTAACAGCCCCGTCGGCGCCTGATCGCCAAAGTCCGTGGGCCAGCAACTCGTTAGACAAGACTAGGGTTGGCTTTTCAGCCCGCTTATATTTAGCATATCGGCCGTCTGCTCTTCTAAACTCCCACATGGAGATGCACGTCCAGTAAGTGCAGTCAACGCAGAAATGATACCAGATTTGCCCGCACTGTCGGCGCCTGTCGCCACCAAGCAGGACGACATCCAAATTGCTAAACTTCGCGCCCGATTTGGCAACGAAAGTGCCAGATATCTCGATATTGGCTGCGCGCGGAAACATTTCCCCCACTGGCATGCGCAACGCCTTCGGCAACGCACTCCAGTTGCCGCTTACGTGCGTCGAGAATTGTTTAAGGTCTGCAAAATGTTGGCAGCACAGCTCCTCCATGAGACCCCTGGTGTAGTATATGCCTCTCGACTGGCGGTTCATTGCGAACTTTTCGGGTCCTTATGCCTTCGCTCGGTGACGAACGTGTCGAAAAGGCAACCGAAATCTCGGTACTGCGGACCGAGATGAGCAGCCTGGTGGTGCTTGAATTGCCAGGGCCCTCGCCCGTGCACGTCGCGAAACTTATGCAAGTGCTTCATGATGCAATCATGCAGCTGGACCGCGGGCACCTGTTTGCGCGATGCGCATTGCAGCATCTCTATGCTCTCACAACAGAGCGAAACTGATTCCGCTGCACCGTGGAGGGCGGCAAAGCTCTCCTCCTTTGCAACCACGTTGGAGAAGTACCTCTGTACGACTGGTGTCGCTGACAGCTGCTCGCTCGCAGTGGCGGCCAGCTTGTTGGTCTCGAAGATTCCAGCCGTTCTCTTGTACTCCCGAGGCCACGTCCACTGCTGCATGTACGCGTGCAGATCTGTGTATTCCACCAGGCCCTTTGTTCCTCCCCGCAGCCGCCTTGGCCTTGTGCATAAATTCATCGAGATCGTACTCGAAAAGCCCAGTGATGAAATATATGTGCGGCCAATCGTACATGGTGGTGCTGATTGGCTTCATGGCGGCATCAGCAGTGAGGTAGTGGGGCCCGTAGTGGAACCCTTTCCTGTCTCCAACTCTGCGTAAGCAGTCTTACCCAAAACAGTTTTTGCAACCATCAGTTCTCCCAGCAAGTTTCGCACAGAAGCGTCCGAGTGCGGCTCCCAAAGGTGGCACTCCAAATTGTCCAACGGGAGGTGCTCGAATCTACCGTCCTTGGCGATGTTTCGGCACAAAGGGCATGGCACGATGCCTCGGTGGCCCATGCTACCGACCACTTCCTTGATAGTTTTGAAGTCAGCCAATGTCCCGTAATGACGCGCAAAGAGCCTGGTGAAATCATCGGTATCGTTTTCGCTCTCGCGCAAATCCAAGCAAATGCCTGTCTTCGTCAGGTGATGAGACTCGTCATTGAAAAACATGTGTTTCAGTACATGCTTGACTAACTGCGACATGCCGCTGTCCATGGTCTCGACAATGAGCGACGGAGTACATGTAACAATGAACCACATTTCCTCCCGATGAACAAGATTTTCAAACTCAGCGAACGTCCAGTAGAAGCTCTGCATTTTGCGTGGGTCCTTCTTGGATGCAAGTGGGTTCGTGGGGCTGACCTCGTCGAAGTATATGATGAGCCTCCACGGCGTACTCGGGGAGCTGGGGAACTTCGCCAACTTTGCCTTCATAATTTGCCTGAACGGAGCGCACCCCCGAACGGTACGATCCAAGAGGGCAAACGGGTGATTGACAAATGCAATTCCAACAGTCCCGTCCTCTAGAGTGAGCTCCATCGGCTGCACCACAGGGCCGTATGGCGTTGGCTCACTAGTGAAAGCATGGCGGGCTCGGAGCTGCGAGCGCGAGCTGCTCGCGCTGGGGAGCCCGTCCGCCCTCACCCTTTTCAGAATCGCCTCGAGCCCCCGCTGCGAAACGTAAGAATCGCGATGCAGCTCATTAAGGTCAGCGCCCGCGCGCTTCATGAGCCAGGGATGCACGCGCGCAAGGGCGCGCTGGTCGCTCGGGCCAGGGCGAGGACGGTGGCGCGTGCGCCTCTTGATCGGCGCGCGGTGCGTGGGGCGATCGTTTCATACGACACGCGTGCATACATGCGCGGAACTGAATTTGGTTATATAATGGCCTTCGGCCCATTCCGCCACCGTGCCTGGATTCGTGGACATTGGATGGCGTTGGAGGCGCTTGGGCCGTCGCGGGGCGGTGGTGGACCGAGAGCTCGACAATCTCACATCCTGGACCGAGGGAGGCATGTCGGCAGTATGCCTCAAGTGGCATCGAATAAATACAACTTGAGGCATGTCCGTTGTATGCCTCAAGTAGTTCCGATCGGGTACCATCTGAGGCGCGTCGTCAGTATGCCTAACGCGTATGTCGGCAATATGCCTCAAGTGGTACCGAATGTGTGTCTGGGTCTCGTGTTAAGCCTTTCGGAGGTTTCTGGGAGGCAGTTTTGAAGCCTCTTGGGGTGCGTTTTGGGGCATCTGCAAGGTCGTTTGGGGGCCTTGGGGGCTGCTTGGGGCGTCTTGGGGGCCTTGGGGCACCCTGGGGCCCCTGGGGGCGACTTGAATGTTTGAAATGTTCGTCGCCCTCTTGGGCCCCTCTTGGTGCCGTCTTGGAGCCCTAGGGCTCCAAGAGCTCTTGGGTTGTATTTGGAACCATAATGGGCAATCTTGGGGCCGTATTGGGCCGTCGTCGGGCCGTCTTGGGGGCCCCTTGGGGCCTCTTGGGGCTTGGGCCGTCTCAGAGCGTCGGGAAGCCGAAAAGGCGAGAAAGCAAAAAAACACAACACCGAAAACCACAAGGGGCAATCAACAAGTTTAGCCACTCGGGGCCCTCTTGGGAAGCCTCTTGGAGGCGGGCCGTCTGCGGGCGGCCTCTGGGCCCGTCTTGGGGCCATTTTGGGCGTCGTGGAGCGCTCGTTTGGCGTCTCGGGGCCTGGGCCGTCTTCGGGGCCTATTTGGTGCCTTCTTGGCCCGTCTCGGGGCCCGCTTGAGCTCGAAACAATCACGCGGGAACATGCAAGAAGCCCCAGGTGAACCGCGGGAAGGCCCGAGAGAATTGGAAATTGAGGCTCTGGTCCCCTTTTATAATGATTCCTCACAGGACTGAGGACTGAGGCTCGGACTGAGGACTGAGGCTCGGAGGATTTGACAAGGGGCATGAGGGCACTCCCACTCCGCGCCTCGCGGCACGGCGGCGGATTTAGACGCGGTTAAACGCACGCGTGCGAATGATGGAACACATTTTCTGGGATCTCCCCTCCCAGCAGTAAAACGGGCTGTACTGCAACAACGGCAGTAAATCTGTGGGCTAAGACATGCCTCTAGCTGCGCTCATTCCGACATCGACCCCAGCTGCTCGCTGTCCCCGTCCCAGCTCGAGTCCGACCCCTCATCCAACGCCGTCAGCGGCTTGGGCAGCCTCGCGGGCTCGATGCCTTGCGACAGCCTCAAGTCCGTCTGGGTGCCGACCTCACGCGTCTCTGGCTTGGGAATGATTGACCCGACCAACTTATCCACAACCTTCTGGCACTCCACCGTCGGCAGGCCGTTGGCCCTGACGCGCGACAGCGACTGAAGGAAGAAGGTCGACTGCTGCGTGAGCATCTTCTTGAGGAGGTACACCTTCTGGGTTCCGAGCTGCTTCTCTGCCGTCGACCTCTCCTTCTTGACGGTGGTCAGCTGCTTCTGCAGCATTTTCTCCATCTCCGAGCGCACCATCTCAAACAGTCCGCAACCACGCGCGCAGCAGCTTAAACGCTAAGCGAGCGCAGAGCCAAACTGCGATGCATCATGGGATCGGGATGGGCGTGGGCTGGGGCAGGGGCGCGCGAGAATCGCGCAACCCACAGTCTGCCACGCGACACGATCAACGGATTTCCATCGGTGAAGAGCTCAATAATAACACAATATGTCATCCTACAATAGCCGCTCTCATCTTACGGTGGTAGCGCGGCGTGCGGGGGATGGCGATGCGACGACGCTGGTAGGCTGAAAGGGCGGGCGGGTGGATGGATGGATAATCAGAGGGCTGGGGAGACAATCGGATGCAGGTGAGAAGGGGTAGGCGGGAGGTGTGACAGGAGAGAGAGAGAGAGAGAGAGAGATAGAGAGAGAGAGAGAGAGAGAGAGAGAGAGAGATATATAGAGGGGAATGAGATCACGATAACGAGGGAGAATGAAATGGAGCGAAAGGGAGAACGTGCGAGCGCGAGGAAGAGAGGGAGAGAGAGAGAGAGAGAAAGAGAGCTATATATAGAGAGAGTGGGATGGGATGTGTTCGAGGAGAAAGGGCTCTTTGTATCGAGAGGGCCTATATGTAAGGATATTGGGCAGAGAGATGGGATATATATATACATATGCGTGGGACATATAGAGGGGGAGTGGTGGCGGAAAAGGATAGCATAGAAAGTGAACGCTATGGCAAGATTGGGAATGATGGCGGGTGAACGTAATGCGAGATAAAGCGAGATAGAGAGCGAGAGAAAGAGCGGGGGAAAGAGAAAGAATAAGGTTGGCAATGTTTCATCGCAAAAAGATACGGCATGCGCGGCTGCACGCGTGCACTCGCCGCGTGCACGAATGCAATCGTTGCCTAGTATTTAGCGCTGCGAGCTCCTGCAACGGCGCACGCGCCCCTACAAGCCACTGTTGACCCAGAAAGATGAGCCAATGCCGTACGCGACCTTCTGGGCGAGCTTCACATCGTCCGAGCTCAACTTTTCATCCCTGGCCTGCTTCCCACCCTCCGTGTATAGCTTGGAGGTGCATGCGCCCTTGGACGGGTATTTTGCTGCGACCCTCTTGGAGAGAAACTCCTTCAGATTGAGCTTGGAGCCCTTTGGCAAATCACTCTCTGTGACGCCGCCCTTCTTGGCCTCTTTCGCCTTCTTCATCGGTGGCGGATCGGCGTCGCCCGACGAAGGGGCGGCCGATGCGGGGCGCTTTGCAGCGGCGGCCGAAGCTGCGGGGCGCGGCATGCGGCCAGCCGCTTTGCCCTTGCCTGTCGCCTTCGTGCGCAAGCGCCCCGCAGCAGATTCCTCGCTCGCATCGCTGTCGTCGGCGCAGGCGCCAGCCCTCTCGTCGACAGCTGGGGGAGCCATGGGGAATTGTCCAGCGCTGTCGTCGGCGCGGACGCCAGCCTTGGGCTCGGCCGCTTCGGCGGGCTCGGCGGCGGAGCGGCTGCCCTTCGGCTCGGGCAGGTGCGAGGCCGACGACGCGCCCGCGTCGGTGGAAGAGCGGAGGCACTGCAGCATGTTATACGGGTCCATGCCTGCACTCGTGCTAGGGAGACCCTTCATCATGCCCTGCAGGAGCATCTGGGCGCCGATCTGCCTGCAGGCTTCCGCCATGAACTGATTGGGGTCGGTTGCGGATGGAGCGCGCAGGTTCAGCATGGGCGGGCTCTTCTTATTGAGGGCCAGCTGCGACTCCGCTTCTTCAGCTCCCGTATGCGCGCTTATAGGCGGTCGAGCTCTGTCGGACTGTTCCGAACGTCAGCTCGCGGTACTCCTTCATCGACGGCGGGTCCGTCTCGTATGCATGCTTGTAGGTTTCACTCGGGAGATCCTTGGGCGAAAGCGGAAACTCTGTCATAAACTCAAATGGGTACTTGACAGTGCCCAGCGGCGCAAGCGCCTCTTTGATGTTATTCAAATGGGCGAACCAATCTTTCCCCTTCTCCAGCGGCAGCCCGTTGGCCACATAGATGCACTCCAAGATGTGCCCTTTCGTCTTCTCACTCGGCAGGAGGAGCCCGATGAAGAAGCACCTCTTTTTCACAACTGCGAACTTAGCAGACCAAGGCGTCATGCTGTCCGCGAGGGTCGTGTACTCGATATCAGTCAAGTACATGTTGAATGATGAGCACTTTTGGTTCGGCCGCCTTGCGTTAGGGTTCCCATCCTCGAGCTGGTTCTTCATCTCGTTCACCAGCGTAGCCAACTTAGCCGTTGTCTCCTTGTCCCACCCGACGCCGTGGACGGCCTTAGTCAACTCCGTTGCGGATCGTAAGTCGCACTCAATGAGCGACTTGATCTTTGCGCTGATGCACGTTGCCTGCGCGCGCATCAACTCAGACATGGCATCCGAGTCGAGGTTGCACTGCTTCTGCTCCTCAAAGAACTTGGGGAGTTTGGCCAGCTCCGCGATGAGCTTGGTAGGAGTGGACATTCTCAAATCCTACTCTGCACCTAGCATACAGCGTGAATGACTCGATTGCTTGAGGGAAATATGTCATGGAAGCGCGCGCGCTCGAGATCAGTGCCCATAACTAGAATGGCATGTCATGACAAGCACATATGTTATTCACATGCAGGCGCGCGCGCCAGCGCCCACAAATGTCGCGCGCGCGCGCGCGAGATAACAATCGATAAGTCACGTTTGCCCTGCTAGGCGTCAGATCATCCCGCGAGCCCTTTGGGCTGCGGTGGTTTAGCGTAATTTTCCTTCTCTCCGCCACAGCTTCCTCCTTCACTTGCTCGGGGAAGGGTGGGGGAGGTGCGCGGTGTGCGCGCGCGTGTGTGTGTCCCTATACAACGCCCCTTGGGTCTGGGGCGGGGGGGGAGGGAAGGGGTGTGTGTAGGTGTGTCTCGCGCGTGAAGCACGGTGCGCTCCTCGGGGAAAAGTGTGTAGATGTGCGTGTATGCGTTGTGGTGTGCGTGTGTGTTGTGCGTGCGCGGGTGGGCGGGTGGGCGGGGGGATGGCGGGCGGGGGCGGGGGGTGGGAAGGGGGGGGGAGGAGGTAGGTGGGTATGAGGGAAGGGGGCAGATTGTCAATTTTCGGCCCAAGGTTGCGGTGGCCTCAGAGAGCTTAATTGGAATTCGCATCCAAGATTCTAGATTGTCCAAGCTACGGCCCCAAGATGATTCCAAGTGGCATTCGAGCCATCGGAAAAGCAATTCCAACACCTAAATAACACATGTCTGTCATTGCATTCTGGCCGTATCGCTTTCCATTGGCTCTTGATACCTCACGATTTCGACAATGGAACCCCAAACAGCCAGAGCGCCAGCACTCCAAGGACGGCCCGTGAGTGCCTCAGGGCGCCCTTTCTGAGCCTCTGATGGGGGGGGGGGGGGGGATCCGAATGGCCCTTTTCTTTTTGAACAGCATAGGCAAGACGGCCCCAAGATGTCTACGAGGGCCCCAAGATCTACCAAAAGAGACCAGCAATAGTGCCCCAAGAGGGCAACCTCTCCAAAAGTCCGATCGAGAACGCGCTCCCGAGGCGGTCGTTAACCTAATTTACTCCCACCATCACTGCCCGCACCAGCATCAGCAGCGCCAGCAGCAGCAGCAGCACCGCAACCACCAGCCACAGCACTAGCAGCGGCGACAGCACCAGCAGCACCGCCGCCGTCACCAGCAGCACCATCAGCGACACCATCAGCAGCACCAGCAGTAGCACCAGTAGCAGCAGCACCCGCAACACCAGCAGCAGGACCATCAGAACGAGAAGCCGCGCCATCAGCAGCTGCACCAACAACAGCACAATCACCATCAACAGTAGCACCAGCGGCAACTCCAGCAGCACAGCAGCATCAGCAGCAGCACCACCACCAGCAGCACCAGCAGCAGCACCAGCAGCAAGATAACCAACATCCGCACCAGCACCAGCAGCACGCGCATCACCAGCAACAGCAGCGGCAGCATGACCAGTCACACGCTCGCGCTGTCTATGTGCGTCCCGTCATTCCTTCTCCCGACAGAGGGGACATCGTTTCTGGATGGGCAGGTGGGGATACGCAAAGCGTCAAGAATTTTATAAGTGCTTGCTGCACTGGGGGGTGAGGGCTTGGTGTTGTCACCATCGTTTCTCTCCCGCATCCTCCTTGTAATCCTTGTCCACCCGCCCTCCCCTTTTTCACATTCCCCGATCCATGGCCTCAGGGCCGCTTCCCTCTCTGCGAGCGTTCCAGCATCTCGAACTCACTGAGGGTCGGCCGACGCACCTGGTGCGATGTTACAATCCTGTATGGAGCCCTCAGCAGCACCCCGCGTCATCCCGCCTCATTCGCCTATACTGTGATGAGAAGACGTTTTAGTATGTAAGCCGTATGATGGATACTCGTGGGCTCTGATTGGAACATAGACTTACAAGCCACCGCCCCCGTCTCCCCCCTCTCCCCCTCCCCCCTTCCCCTCCCTCCTCCCCCCTCTTCCCCTCTGGATGATGGAAGGTGGAGGCGGAAGAGAAAACTCGTGAGGCAGTGTTCCATGCGCGCAGAAATGCCCCGAGCCAGGCTGCGCGCACAAATGCCCCCAGCTTGGCTGCACACACAAATTCCCCCAACCAGGCTGCACACACAAATGCCCCCAGCATGGCCGCACGCACAATTCTAGACGCTACGCGTATCTCCACCAGCCCATCCAGAAACAACGCCCAGGCGAGTTGAGGTGATCAGGGAAGTGCAGGAGCAAGGAGGGGGACAGCCGAACCGTGCGAAGGAGGAAGGAGGAGACGGAGGATGCTGGATGGATGGATGAGGGAGTGGGGAGAAGGAAGATGAATAGGAGGGGGGGGAGGAGGAGGAGGAGGAGGAGGAGGACGGATGACGGAGGACGGAGGACGGAGGACGGAGGAGCAGGAGAAGGAGGAGGAGGAGGAGGAGGAGGGCGAGCCAAATGGCCAAAGGTATTTTGGATGCATCTCGGGGCCTCTTGGGATATCACTTGGGCGCTTCTTGGAGGCCTCTTGGGAGCATCTTGAGAGCCGCTTGGGGCCATCTTGGGGCCATATTGGCGCCTCTGGGGGCCTCCTAGGAGCGCCTCTTGGGGCAATCTTGAAGGAGATCGATCAAGCCTTGCCCCTCTAGAGCCCCCAGAATCGCCTCTTGGACCCCTCTTGGGGCGCTCGTGGAGCGCTCTTGGGCGCTCTTGGGGCCGTCTTGGGGCTCTCGTGGGCTCATCTTGGGGCCCTTTTGGGCTCTTTTGGGGCTATATTGAAGCCTCGGATAGCAATCGGAAGCGAAAAAGCGAGAAGCAGAAAATAATGTGTTTCCTTAAGTTTTTGAACGATTTTGGCATTTTGGGGGGTGGCTCCTTGGGGAGCTATCTGGTCTCTTGGGGTTATCTTGGAGCGGTCTTGGGACCTCTTGAGCCATATTGAGGCATCTTCGGCTATCTTGGGCCACCTTGGAGCTCATCTTGGGCTCTCCGAGGCGCTATGGAGCCGTCTTGGGCGAAAAAGTACCCTAGGGCGTAGGGGGAAGGGGTAAACCCCTCCCCGAAGGGGAAGAAGGAGGTTGGAAGAGGAAACTCCCTAAACCACCTACGCCCAGAGGGCTGGTGGGAATGGCCCCACCCACCCACACCACCACCTCGCCCATACCCCCCTCACCCTCTCTCTCCCCCCCCCCAAAAAAAAAAAACACACACACGCACACACACACACACACACACACACGCACACCAACACATACACACACACACACAACACTCTATCGCACACACACACACACACACACACTACACCACACACACACACACACACACACACCACACACACACACACACACACACACACAACCCACACACAACCACACCACCCCTCTTCCCCCAAACCCTAGCCCCCCACCCCCCACCCCACCCCACCCAACCCACCACCTACACCACCACCACCACCACTCGTCCATCCTCGCCCTCCCCCCTCCCCGCCAACTCCCTCTCCTCCTCCGCCCTCCCCCATCTTCTCCCCCCCCCCCCCCCCCCCCCCCCCCCCACACACACCCACAAACACACCACCGCCCCCACCACCAGGGGGTTGTGCTTTGGGGTGGTTTAGGGGCTGCGCTTCACAGCATAGATGTTGAAGGGGCAGTGCTTTAGGGATGGCTCAGGAGCCGTGCTGTAGTTATGTTTTGGGGTTGTGTTTCACTTTAGGGATGTTCCAGAGGCTGTGCTTTATATAGATGTTTCAGGGGCCGTGATTTAGTGATGTTTTATGTGCTGTGCTTTACCTTATGGGCATTTCAGGGGCCGTGCTTTAGGGAAGTTTCAGGGGCCGTGCTTTAGTGGTGTGTTATGGGGGTTGTGCTTCACCTTAGGGATGTTTCAGGGCCGTGCTTGAGTGATGATTCAGGCTAAATGATTTAATGATGTTTTAGTGGCTGCGTCTGTGATTTAGCGAAGTTTCAGTGGCAGTGATTTGCGGATGTTTTGGGGGCTGTGTTTTACCTTGTAGGGATGTTCCAGTGGGCCGTGCTAAGGATGTTCCATGGGCAATGCTTTATGGATGTTTTGGGGGCTGTGTTTTAACTTAGGGGTGTTGCAGGGGCCCTCCTTTAGGGATGTGTCAGTGGCCTTGCTTTAGTGATGTTTTAGGGGCTGTGTTTTACCTTAGGGATGCTGCAGGGGCCGTGCCCGAGGGAAGTTTCAGGGGCGGTGCTTCAGTAATATTTTGGGGGCTGCGTTTTACCTTAGTGATGTTTCAGGGGCAGTGCTTTAGGGAAGTTTCAGGACCGTGCTTTAGAGATGTTTTAGGGGCTGTGTGTTAACTTAGAGTTGTTCCAATGACCATGCTTTAGGGATGTGTGGGTCGTGTGTTAGGGGCGTGCATTCACTCTTCGCGACTGGTTACCTTTGCACCTTTATCTTTGCGCATCTAATGCATGCGATCGCGCGCGCCAATGGTTTGGGATACATCGGGTCAACATGATATCGCTATGAAGCACGATCGAGCGTATCAGAGCTACTGGGTGTCATATTTCCGATAAGAACCGCTTGTGGCAAACGTTGTGGTGCACATGATTTGCAAGCGCAGAGTTGCACACGTGCATGCGCGCCCTGGGGCGCCACCAGCCGCAGCAACGACATAATACCTGATATGCTGCGCTATGCTACGCGTGTCAACGTGCTACGCCAATGATGAATGCGATGCCGTGCTATGTTATGCGAGCGAGCGTGATAACGTTGATGTCACTCTACGCTGGGCTGTGGGAATAATATGTGGTGCGATCTACGCAGTGCCATCAGCGCCTGACTGGGTGGCAGATCATCCGCCCGCGGCTATTTTGCCTCAAACTGTTTGCACTTGTGCATATTACATGTTGCAATCGGTCCCTCGGGCCGCCATGGTGAGATCGGGCTCGAGATGCCGCTCCCGCTCGACGAGTTCGTCGAGCTCGAGCTCGAAGAGCTCGAGCACAAGCAGCTTAAGCAGTGCGACTGTG